TATATTACATATATTATTTATATAATAATATATTATATATATTTATGTCTAAATTTAAATCGTAACATCTCATGTAACAATGTGGTTAGTGTCTTCTTTTGTATAGATTTGATCCATATTCGAATCCCACACTTTACATCTATTTTTCTCAATTTTAGTTTAACGAGCCAATTTCGAACCGAACACGAGCCGAACACGAACACGTATATTTAAATCGAGCCGAACACGAACACATTGTTCATGAGCCAATTTCGAACACGAGCTATTTCGAACGAGCCGAACACGAGCCAAGCCTGAGCTCGCTTAAGCTCGGCTCGTTAACAGCCATATTTGGAGCAGCTTATAAGTGCGGCGACATTTTCAAAAACGTCGATAAGTGCGGCGACATTTTCAAAAACACCGACTAACCGTTTGATTTGCGTATTTTTGAAAACGTTGTCTGTCTCGTTTAAGTTTTTTACACTAAAAGCAGGCCGCGGGTCAATCCCCGCGGTCGACCCACGGGTCAAGTTTCAGGATAAGCTGCTTATCCGTATCAGCTGCCCCAAACAGAGGTTATATACATACCACAATGTTTTATTTTTCTATATTTACATTTCTAACACCTAAACTTTCATTTTTTACATTCATAACCCTTAAAAAGTGAAAAATATTTTCACCATCACATGAAATTCAAATTTTCATGCATTACATATTTTACCAAAGTGCTATAAATATAAATATGAAATTTTAAGGTGTTAGATTTGTAAGCACATAAAAAAGTTGTGGTATATATGTAAATAATTATTTGTAATTATTTTGAGGTTTGGGCCAAGAGAGTCCATCCAGAAATACGTTAGGAATTGGGAAGGTCAACATTTGACCGCCACACGTCTTACTTGGTGGCTGCCGCATCCTTATCCGTAACTTCCCTATTTCGAGAGCCCGGCTTGATTGGTTGCTCGGGGTCCACTTTATCCATTCGGTGAGTTGTGCTGCCGATCTCGATATTTCTCGTTAACGTGCTCCCCACGTAAGTGACCCCCGTGCTTTTTATTTTTCTATTACCGCCCGAGAGTAATTAATTTAATATATTTCATATTCGGACAATCGTTAATGATGCAAATTAAATATTTAATCTTGTTAATTATTTAATGTAAAATATTAAATTTTTTAATCTTGTTAATGATACAAACTAAATTGTCAAGTAACATGGAAACACCACGAGCCACCATTAACTAGAGTTAAACAACCGCGAGCCATCATTAACCAGAGTTAGCAAGCGGTTCGGGCAAGTCATTTTGATTAATGCAATTATTTGTATTAAATTAAATTAAAAAATATTATATGAGAAAATCTTAATACCCATTTTTAATTATAAATAGACTAAAAACAAATTATTTTTTAAATCAAAGCATAAAATTGTGAAGCAAATGATCTAATGAGGGACGGCAGAGAAGGCTAATTAATTAACTTCTAATTCCTTCGGAAAGTTTAAGGGAATATTCGCATTTTGTAATTAGTTGGTATAAATAAGACGCCATTAGCAAGCAAATTGTAATTAGGATTTTAATCTACTTTTCGGATTCCATTATAAATTACGGACATCATGCAGTAGCTTGGAGGGATTCGCAGCCGTCTGATTTGAATCATACGCAGTGGAGATGGGGTTCTCGATTTCGCTCGATTTTTGGGTGTCGGCACGAGCATTTCTATTATTTAAAATATGTTATTGAAATAAAATATTTTAAATAAATATATTTAAATTATAAAATCAAAATATTAATATTAATATA